CAGAGAAGATTTAAAAAGTAAGCACATTAGATATAAGATATGCAACCCAACATTAATTGAATCTGTTGAAGTGATGCTAAAAATAAAAAAAAGCAAAACCATGCCAGTACTGCGTGGATCCCCGCACTTTGCGCACAGAACGGAATGGAGCGCACATGTGGCTGAGTGTCTGCTGCGAAAAGAAGAAAATCTCGAGATAAAGCGAGACTATTAAAATTTGCTTCACTTATTCAGAGTAAGAATTTCCGAGATCCAATCATCCTGTCTTTTCTTACTCTCTGTCAGGTCTGATGTTCATTAGGCTGCTTAACATTTTCCAATTCGTAGAAATATAGGGTTTCTACAATGAAACTAGTAGGAAAATGTTGCTGACCCAAAATTAAACGCATGTTTTTGTCATTTTTGTGATTTACCTTCATCCCGACTTTCCTTCTTGTAGTATTTATACTTTAAAAGCTTCTAGCATTTACATCATTCTAAATACCTACTCGTAATCACTGTTTTGCAAACATATCAGGAGCCTGTTATGCAAAGGAGTCATTTGTCATGCTCAAAGTAGCAGTACATCTGTATCTGATGGTCGTCTTAAAGCGCGTGGTGTATTTTCACATTGAACACCAAATCTAGAAACTAGACTGTCAAATTGCCTATTATTCTACTACATTTTATACTTCTTAAAAGCCAATGGGAATGATAACATTGCTGTCAAGAAAAACTGATTCCCTATTGGGATTTGAAATGGAATCTTTATATTCCAAAGCATGTCAAGCGAGTGGCCAAAAAGAAAGTAGAGAAGTTCAACAAATTTTCAACTTCTCCTATAGTCAATAAGTCCTTAACTTGATATAACAGAGTAAAATCTTTATACAGAATCGTAATACTATATACCAGTATTTTCAAATGACATTGCATGTCTTCTGTTAACAGTAAACAGGGTGATCAATATTCTCTCAAGAAGTAGGAAGGGAAGCTGTAGGCTGGGACTGTTCCGGTGGACGAGGTGGAGGTTGCAACTTCGTTTCTAGCAATGGCTCAAGAGCTTTTCTTTTCTAAATGCAGGATGTTAACAATGGAACAGTAAAGCTCCATGGCAAGTCAATTTACAGAAAGTATTGAAAAACCTGAGGAGGAACGAGCCGGTCCTGTTTCATAACATACGCACGGACATCTGCTCTGAAATTACAACAAATAATCATGATTTAACGGCAACGGTGTATGCTAC